GACTTAGCCGAGTTCTTCTCTTCTCATGGATCACTTCATAGAGGCTCATGTACCAGAACACCACAATAGAATGTTGTTGCTGAAAGGAAGAACTGCCACCTCCTCAAAGTTCTCTGCAGTATGATGCTTCACATGCATGTTCCAAAACGTTTTTGGGTTGATGCTGTGATGACTGCAACTTATGTTATTAATCATATGCCATCGTGCCTCCTGCAATACAAGGCCCCACATCAACTTCTTTTCCCTCAATCCCCTTTATTTTCCATTCCATTACGTGTGTTTGGGTGTAAATGTTTAGTTCATGATCTTTCTCCCAGCTGGGGTAAATTGGATTCCAAATCTGTTCCATGTGTTTTCTTGGGTTATCCTTCTTCCTAGAAAAGTTACAAATGCTTCAATCTGGTCACACATAAGTACTTTGTGTTGATGGATGTGTTCTTCTTTGAATCTGAACCCTTCTTCCATGCCTCTCCTCAAGGGGAGAATAGTATGAAGGAGGAGAGGCAAGCTCCAACTCCTCAAAGAAGAAGGGTTCAGATTCAAAGAACACATCCATCGACACAAAGTACTTATGTGTGATCGGATTGAAGCATTTGTAACCTTTCTGGGAAGAGGGATAATCCAATAAAACACATGGAACAGATTTGGGATCCAATTTACCTCGACTGGAGAAAGATCATGAACAAGACATTTACACCCAAACACATGTAATGGAATGGAAAGTAAAGGGGATTGAGGGAAAAGAAGTTGATGTGGGGCCTTGTATTGCAAGAGGCACGATGGCATATGCTTAATAACRTAAGTTGCAGTCATCACAGCATCAACCCAAAAACGTTTTGGAACATGCATGTGAAGCATCATACTGCGGTGAACTTTGAGGAGGTGGCAGTTCTTCCTTTCAGCAATGCCATTCTGTTGTGGTGTTCTGGCACATGAGCTTCTAATGAAGAGATCCATGAGAAGAGAAGAACTCGGCTAAGTTATGATGGAAATACTCCTTCGCATTATCCGATTGGAAGATTTGGACTTCAACATGAAATTGAGTGAAAACCATGCAATGGAAATGCTGCACAATCTTGGGAACCTCTTCTCTCGAATGCATGGGATATAGCCAAGTGTATCTCGAATAGTCATCAATAAAGTTGATAAAGTACTTGTACCCACCCTCAGTAGGTATAGTTACAGGGCCCCAAACATCAGAAAAGACAACATGGAAAGGCAAAGAAGATCTTTTATTGTTTGAAGAAAAAGTTGTTCTACACTGCTTGCTTAACTGACACGTTTGACAATGCAAACTAGTAATAGATACTTATTTGAACAATTCAGGAAACACAACTTTCAAAGACTCAAAGGACAAATGACCAAGGCGATTATGCCATAACCACAGTTGACTATTTGTAGATTGACTCATAAGACTCACAGAGGCTGATGCCGCAGGACCAACTTTATTCTCTAGGATGTAGGATGTAGGCTRATGATGTCTTTCTTGGGATTGGAACCACTGGGATGTTCTTGGGGAAAAACTGTAGTCTGATCATTTTGTTGATATAGTTCTTCTATTGAGGAAAACCATCGGCTTGGTGATTGTACTGGAGAACCCGTGACAGATGTCAAGAAATTTCAAAGGCTGGTAGGAAGACTTCTCTACCTATCAATGACTCGGCCAGATATAGCTTATGCTGTTGGTGTACTTAGCCAGTTTATACATGCACCAACATCCTCTCATTTAGAGGCAGCTGAGAGGGTTTTCAGGTGTCTGAAGAAGTACCCAGGAACTGGGTTACTTTTCAAGAAACATGATCATATGAAAGTGGAAGTCTACACAGATGCAGATTGGGTTGTGGCAGTTGATGACAGAAAATCAACTAGTGGATATTGTACCTTTGTTGGTGGAAACTTGGTTACTTGGAGAAGCAAAAAACAAAGTGTTGTGGCCAGATCTAGTGCTGAAGCCGAATATAGAGCCATGGCGCATGGAGTTGTTGAAGTACTATGGGTAAAGAATTTGATTGGAGAGTTGGGTCTCTCTGTTGATGGCCCAATGTCTCGCTACTGTGACAACAAGGTAACCATTAACATTGCTGCCAATCCAGTTCTTCATGACAGGACCAAGCATATTGAASTTGACAAGCACTTCATAAGGGAGAAACTTGAAAAGGAGGAAGTYTGTACTCCTTACATCAGTTCCAAGGAATAGCTAGTAGATGTTCTTACAAAGGGCCTTCACTATCTACGGCATAATGAACTATGTGACAAGTTGGGCATGATTGACATATATGTTCCAACTTGCAGGGGAGTGTTGTAATATGTAGCGGCCTGTGGCCTAGTAGGGGCATTTCTGCCCTTTCCTCTTGTAATTTTATGACCTGTCGCCCTAAATATATATACCAAATTAGGCGCCACCAGCTTTAGATTAGAAAATACAATCTTTTTTCCTCTCTTCTCTCTTCTCTCTTCTCTGTCTAACTACAAAGCCCCCAACCCCCAATTTTATAAAACTCAACTTTGATGGAAGCTTTATTGGCAATAGGGGATTGGCTGGGGTAGTGGTGTCTTCAGAGATATAGAAGGTATTGTTTTAAAAGGCTTAAGTCTTGAAGTGTGAAGCATATGCCTTGAGGCGAGGCGATCAGATTTGCCTCAAGGCTTAAGCCTCACAACTTTGGTTTGAGTCTTAAACCTTTGTCAGAATGAGGCGTGAGTCTCAAGCCTCAAGGTGTGATGTGTAACATGAGGCATAAAAAGGCGTAAGCCTCAAATATCAACATTATTTAGTGATTCCATGCAAGAAAAACATTTTTTTATGTATTTTTTATAGTTCAAAATATATAGAAAAATCACTTTAATAATTATGGACCAAATAAAAAGAATAAAAATGAAAAACYAATAGGGAAAATCAAGTTCTGTTAGTTTATATTAGTATTTTAGCCTAAGAGAGTTCAATGCTAAAAAAAGGGCTAATCAAGTAATTAGTTTCTCTTGGATAAACCAAGTGGAAATTTTTTCTTAATATTCTAATTTAACATCCCAAGTTTGTTGTTTTCCTCAATTCTTTTCCCAATGGATTTATTTTTCTTTTTATTGATTTATTTTCTTTTTATTTTGCATAGACCAAATCAACTACATTGTTTCCCAACTGTTGGATGACAATAAATCTAATGCCCATTTTATAGATGATTCTTCATATGAATAGTTTCATAAGATTGCATTTTGAAACATAAAATGTAAAATGCTTATAATTTTTGGATGATTAATTATTTTTTTATTTAATGCTTAAAAGTTAAAGCTTATTTCTTATAAATTTCTAATTTATGGATATTTGTACCTTTCATCATTCTAACTTGGTATATTACATGTTATTTTTATCATTTATAAATTGTAATTACTTTCTTAATTTTTGAGGCTTACGTCTCACCTTTTTGGGCCACTACGCCTCAACTATGCCTCTAGCCTTTTAAAACCTTGAGGCTTGCGAAACAACTGTGCTTCCTTGGATATTCTGGTATAAATTCAGGGAAATTGTAAGCCTAACAAGGGAGCTAAATGTTATCTTTAAGTCGGTAAGAAGAATAGCGAATGGAATGGCAGATTCTTTGGCCAAACAAGGGGCAGTGAGATGGCAAATGTTTTGGGAAAATCTGTAATCTTTTGTTGTTTCGGGATGAAATTTACACCTCAAATCTTGTAACTCCTAAATTGTCATTAATAAAATTCTTTTTCTGCTGACCAAAAAATAAATTGTCTTTTTTATTTATTATCAAAAAATTGAAAAAGTATATTGTCTACAACTTTAATTTGTTCTTATGAATTCTTTTTTTTTTTTGCTGCTCCTTTTTTTTCAAGCATTAAGAAATATTCTTTAGCTTTAGCATCACCCCTAAGAAAAACACTTCCAATTTCTAAATGCCAGTCTTCTATCCATAATTTTGGATTTTCATTCCTGATATTGATTCTCCTCACCATTTCAACTTAGACAGTATCCTCTTCTCGAGTGTTTCCTTCACCTCCCTCATTCCCCCATGGCTTTGACTAGAATCCTGGCATTTGCTTCCCAATGACCTCTGATTTCCAGCCTTTGGTTAACCAGGATTCCTGAATAGTTTTGATGTCCAACTGTTCATTGCTGGAGAACCTCAAATGGAATAAAAATCATTATTGGGTAGCTGAAATCAGCTCATTGATGTTCCATTGTCCCTCTTATTGCTCCTCTTTGAACAAGATAYAATTTTGATGTTTTATCCTTCCCAGAGGAGCCCAAGTGTGCATTGCTCTTTTTGGTACTGTCTTGTTATTCAATGATTCTCCAATCATATGCAAAGCACTCATATGTCGTTGCTTTAGGGGGAAATAGAAGATTTAGGTTTAGAAGCTGAGTGGGAAAATAATGTACGCTGTCAACCATGGAGAAGTAATCACTTATGTTTCAATTCCAGATTTGATTAAAGTCATAGTGCTATCATAGCGCTATCCTCCTCAAAGGACCTGCAGTATACTGCCTGTGTCTCTTGGTTTTAGGTAATAAAGATACTGTAGCTGTACTGTGAAAGCTGATATTGCTGCATGTGATGGGGAAGGACTAGTTTGTTTTTTTTTTTCTTTTTTCTTTCTTCTTTATTGCTCTCCAAACAACTAGAAGTACATTGTTGAAAGATGGTCAGGAATGCTGTTATGGATTGGTTTATGTATTTTCCTGCTTGAATGAACTATTTTTAACTCACTGCATTTTCCATCTTCTGTTGTCAGTTCTAGTTAAAATTGTTTTTAATTTTGTTGTACAATCCTGTTGCTATTAAGCTTGCTTCCTGAACTCACATTGTCAAAGGACTTTACCTCAACATAACTTGTATTGAATATATCTTCTATTGTCATAAAATTATATTTTAGAATATATTGCATTTTGGTTATCATTTTCAACATCCTCTCCCATTGCATGATCTACCACATTTGCTTCCTTGTATTTTAGAGCTATTTTTAATATGAAGTGTTCTTTTCATGGACAGGCTAATTCTTTACCTTTTTTGGTGATTCTGATTCTTTCATTGGTAATGGGCATTATTCTCAACTTCACCATGTTCTTGTGCACCATAGTTAACTCAGCTCTAACAACAACCATTGTTGGAGTCCTCAAGGGTGTCGCTTCCACTGTGAGTATACAGCTTTATTTACAGAATAGAAACAAGTGGTGTTCTTTCTGTTAATTAAATATATCATTGCTGTGCAAACAATAAAATTTTTTCTCCTCTCCAGACCCTTGGTTTTATCCTGCTTGGTGGTGTGCAAGTACATGCCTTGAATGTGATTGGATTGGTCATCAACACAGTTGGTGGTGTGTGGTATTCATATGTCAAATATAAGCAAAAGAGCAAGCCACAGAAGGTAATACCTGATGTAGAGAGACTCATCATAATCATAAATAAAATCAAGAATGGGGTATTGTGGTTTAGTAGTGTTTTAATCAATTACAAATAAGGTTTAAAATATTGGTGTCGGTGTGGAAATGCCAGTCATCCAAATATGAGAAACATGTTGGAAATGTCAGAAATATTGTATGGAATTATTGTAAAAATAATAGACTTGGTGAAAACATTGTAAATATGCAAAATATAGAATGATATTTTATGAAATGATAAAAGAAGCATAGACAAAATAATATGTTCAGGAGTTCCCTGTAAATCTTAAGATTTAGAGCATCATGATAGAATGAGTTAAAGAAAAATTTAAACTAACTGGAAAAGTTTAAGCTTTAATGTGCCAAATCAAAAGAAAAGAAGGCTGAGGGGTGGGGAGGTAATGATGGTGGACTGTGGGTCTGAAGGTTTCATGGTGACTTCAAGGTGGAGACACTTCCTGAAAGTGGAGGCTAAGAATTTTCTGTTCGAGAAGTTAAAAATCAAGGGACAACTTAGCTTGAAGATAAGGGAGAAGCAAAAGGCAACTGTTTTGGTAGAAGGAAAAGAGACAGTGGAATGGCTCAAAGATTTTCTGGTTGAGGTTGCAAACAAAGGGAAGAACCTAAGTTGGAAAGAAAGWGTTACAGCAACAGGAAGAAGGTACATATTGGAATGCAGAAGGAACTATAGAGGATTTTACATTACCCTTACAGAGTTCTTTGCCAAGGGTAAGAAACAATTGGTATGCTTCCCAGAAGGAAAGGATAGCCAAGGTTGGCAGGGGGTTGCTGAAAGTCTTAAGGCTCTTCTGACTAACTGGAAGAAAGAAAAACAGGAGATCTCTCAAGTGGAAGTACTTTGGCTCAAAGTACAGCCACTCCTACTATGAACATCAGTTTCAAGAGAGAAGTGTGGGAAAGGATGCTGGTAGTTGAAGGTAAAAGTCCAGTCTCCGGTTGGAAGAAAGTTGCTGATCTTATGCAAGATAAGTTGATGTTAAGTACTTTCATATTAACTCCTTTTGACAGTTTTAAAGTAGTACTCGATCCCCTTGGTAGTTTGGTGGAAGTTTCTGCTAAGAGCTTCCAAGAATTCTGGGGTTCTTTGGACGTGTTTCATTGGACTCCCTCATCTAACACAAAGGCATTTTCGATCATGGATGGAGTGGTGATTCGGGTATTAGGGCTGGCTTTTCATATCTGGAAACATGAAATAGCCTCTCTCATTGCTGTTCTTTGTGGTGCATGTCTCGATGGTGAATTTTGGAGAGATCTTCTTTCAGCAGCCCTCCTCTTGAGTGGAGCCAAACCAGCAGAGATCCTTAGGAAAATAATTTTCTGTGTGGATGGACTTTTCATCCCAGTGTGGTTGGCTTCCTCCATTGAAGTTGCACTGTAAAGGAAAGGTCGGAAGGTAGAAGATGAACAAGTAGAGGCACAAGTGCTACATGGAAGGTTGGGATTGGAAGTTCAGAGGTCTGACAGAAGGATAGGATTGGAAGGTCATAGGTTTGACAGAATTTTCACAAAAATGGATAAGCAGGCTTTAGCTCCTCCAAGAGAAGTGGGCAGATTGGAAAGTCAAAAACGTGAAGACCAAGTTAATGGGCTGGCTTATTTAAAGGCCTATGCCCAGGTGGCAGCTAAAGGCCCCAAAAACAGACTTTTAAGCACTTTAGGGGGTCTTTCCTCAAAAGGAAAACAATTTGAATTTAATCTAGTTGCAGAAAARACTAGGGAGTCTCCAATTAAGGGCAAACCAGTGGGTCAAACCAGGGAGGGCCATATTAGCCCTCATAAGCCTAGAGAATTGTGTGGGCCCATTGTTTTTAGAAGGAAATGACCCAATTAATTTGAGTCCACTTGTCCCATCTGTCAAATTGGCAAATGGGCCAAGTCTAGAAGGCCCACCAGCCTCAGAGGCACATGATCACTTAAGTAGTCACATGCCAAAGGGCCTCCTTTCGATAGACACCAACTGTGGCCTATCTTCTTCCTCAAGCCCTGCAAATCAGGTTTCAGCCACAACCCAGAATGGGAGCTCTTTATAGTGGATCCCATCCAAGAAGTGTTAGTGTGGATCCCCGAAATGTTAGACACAGTCAGTTAGAAATGGAGGAGGAATTTTCTTCAGTCTAACACAAACGGCACAGTCAGCCTTGGTAGTGTGGATCTGCAGCTGTCAAGGTCGATCTTAGAGGATAAAAGCTTTCACACAGACTTGCTTTTCTTAGAAGATGATGCTTTGGGCCCATCAGAAGATGTCCAGGAGGAAGTTTTGCAAACTCTCAGGTCACCAAAATTGGTGGTAAATCCAACAGAGCCTACAAAGGAAACACATGGGACACTTAACCCGGAGCCTATTCCCTTTTCAACAAGCAATACACTCTCTTCATCGAATCAGAGGAACATGAATCTTTTTGTTCACAGAACATAGATTCAACAATTGGGGGACAAAATGCTAAGGTGGATTTGGATGTTACAGTTAACACAGTTTTAATAGAACCAAATACACTTCCACTTTTTCCTCAGACACAAGGTTTGGCGGCAGCCCCTGATTACCTTTCTGGGACATTAGAACCTTCGTCCTCGCCCCATACTGGTATAGGTATGTCTGTTCATTTGGTTTTTGGTACTGATGTGGGTTCTATGCTTGAAACAGGTGTCTCAACTTCTCAACTGGAAAGAACAACTTTTAGAGGGGAAGGTGTGGGCATAGCTAATGGTTGTGTTGAAAAGGAGAGAGAACTTTAGTTGAGAAAAAAGCAAGAGGAGGAAGAATTAGAGAGGATATGGGGGCAAATTTGTGAACTATTGGAGGAGTATAAGATCACAAAGGATTATTTGGAGGAAAACACATATGAGAATGGGAACCCAAAAAACTGTCCAAGCACCTGGGGAGTGGGAAATAACAGAAAGAAAAAGAAAAGAATTGAGGTAGAGAGGTTGATTTCAGATATAGAAGGGGACATTGAGTTTAGTGGCAGAAGGGGAAGAAGAAAGACTCCCAAGTAGGAATCTTTAACCTTAGTTGGGCTCCAAAATTTTGTTTCCCATGAAAATCATCAGTTGGAATGTGGGGCTTAGGGAGCGCAAGGAAAAGGAGGTTAATTAAAGACCTGTTCAGAAGGAATAAGCCTGATATAGCGATGCTACAGGAGACCAAATTAGTCAAATTTGACAAAAGATGGGCCAGAAGTGTGTGGAAGTCAAGAGGAATAAGTTGGGCCTTTGCACCCTCTTGGGGGGCTTCAGGGGRTATTGTCACATTGTGGAGAAAGGATGCTGTAGAGGCAGAGGAGTTAATAGGAAACTTTTCAGTGTCTGTAAAGTTCAAGTTGGTGAACAATGGTTTCATTTGGGTGTTGACCAATGTGTATGGCCCTAATATCTATAGAGAGAGGAATGAATTTTAGGAAGAGTTATATGGAATCCAAGGGCTATGGGAGGGTCCTTGGTGTTTGGGTGACGATTTTAATGTATTATGCTATGTTAATGAGACAAATAACCCCCAACAGCTCATTACAACTAGTATGAGAAAGTTTAATAATTTTATTAATTATAATGAGCTTAAGGAGCTTCCTCTTGTGCATGGCCTTTTTACTTGGTCCAACTTCCAAGAAAGCCCAACTTGCTCGAAGCTTGATAGATTCCTTTTTAACGAAAGTTGGGAAAATCATTGGAGAGACTTGCTATCCAAAGCTCTACCTAGAGTTACCTCCGACCATTGTCCCATTAAGCTAGGACAAGAACCTTTCGGGAGTGGACCCAAACCCTTTAGATTCGAAAATATGTGGCTGACACACGCAAATTTTGTAAAAAAGATTGAGGAATGATGGAATCAAGATATGAGGGGAGTGAAGTGGAAAGGGGTAAGGTTTCATAAGAAGTTGAAAAGCCTGAGAAGGAACTTAAGAGAACGGAATAAGGACCTTTTTGGGAGAATAGAGGAACAAAAATCCAATTTGATGACCCAAATAGAGGACTTGGATGAGAAGGAATCTCAACGAACCATGAATACTAAAGAAAGAGAATTAAGGTGGAGGTTGAAAAAGGAATTAGAGGAGGTTCTTTTGCGAGAAGAGATATCTTGGAGGCAGAAATCTAGGCATAAATGGATAAAGGAAGGGGACAGGAATACCAAATTTTTTCATGAGATGGCCAATTGAAGAAGAAGGAAAAACTTGGTGACTAAACTTGAAGTGGATGGTGTGGAGTTGGACTCCCAAGAGGAAATGGCCAATTGTTTTGTAACGCACTACAAATCTATATTAAAGAAACCTCTAGCTAGTCAAGTGGAGTTGGTTGGGTTGGATTGGCCTACACTGTCTGAAGAGATGAAATTGTGGTTGGAAAGGAGTTTTGAGGAGGAAATACGACAAGCAATTTTTTTCAATGGATAGATCTAAGGCACCARGGCCAAATGGCTTTACTATGGCTTTCTTTCAACACTGCTGGAACATAATTAAAGGAGACTTGTTAGAAGTTTTCAAAGAATTTGAAGAACAGTCTATCATTAGCCGTGGAGTAAATGCCACTTTCCTAGCCCTGGTCCCTAAGAAGAAAGAGGCCAAACATCCCAAAGATTTTAGGCCAATCAGCTTGATAACAAGCATCTATAAGATATTGGAAAAGGTCTTATCTTTGAGGATCAAAAAGGCTCTTCCCCCCATCATAAGTCAAGCTCAAGGTGCTTTTGTTCATGGTAGACAAATAGTTGACCAAATTTTAATAGCAAATGAAAGTGTGGAAGAGATGAGAAGATTGGGTAGGCAAGGTTCTGTTTGCAAATTGGATCTTGAA